CAGCTATGATTCTGAAGTTTTGTTATTCAAAAATGAGTGTTATTCATAAGATAGTATCTGCAATATTATTATCAGGTCATTGCTCAAAACAGGTATTTAATCTTGTGACAATAATGTGCATAATTTGTTGTTAATTCCACAGACCTTTGATAGATTACATTGTCTTCGTTTATGTATGTCATACATGCAAACACAGAATTGTAACTGTATTATCTGCAAATCAAGATGCTAAAGTTAGGAAATGGAGAAGCAATTTAATTGATGAAGCAAGATTCTCTGTAAGATGCAAAATATACATGATTCATTGTTCTAACTATATATAGGAATCCCATTTATCTAACGCATTTCTTGACCATTATGATAATGAAAGCATGAGTACTGATGATTCTGATATTGACTTCTCGGACACAGTCGATGGAGATAGAGGTTTTGAAACTTCTGACAACATGCAGTCTTCTCCTATTACCAGTTCTGATGAATCAGAATTATCAGTGTCATTAGATACCACATCATGTATGTCACATCGTGCTGTAGTACCGTCATTTACCTCAGGCACTGCAGCATTAAGGCGGATTTACAATATTACGCTAGTCCTGACGTTACGTTGACGCAGGAATAGAATCTGGTTCTATTCCAGCGGAAAGCATGCGTCAAAAGGTCAAATCGGCCACGTTTTTGATTAAAAATTGACATTACGCTGGCCTATTGTCATATTGTAAATCCGCCTTTAGATGTAACACTCTCATCTACAAATAAAAGTCCCAGTTATAAATAACAGGTGACAACCTTGACTTGAACATTCAACCACGATTCATGGGGGTTAACCGATATGAAAAACATTCGCCTCATTTATTTGATTCATTTGCTGCTGCAGATAGAATAGATACTAGTGCAATGAGTGATACTCGTGAGCATTTATGCTGGCCATCTCCTGAGTCTTTAGTAACTAGTTTACTATGTGTCTTGGTTCAGCATATGAAGTTTTTCTCAGATTATTTTAAAGATATTGTACCTAATCACATACAGCATGATTATGGTCTTCAAATGTCACAAAAAACAGAAGTGGTAATGAAATGTAAAATTAATGTATTTCATTGTTCCAAAATTAATTTTATATAGGTCCCATTTGGAATGTTAGCAAAATAAATTTGGAGAAATGATAGAAATATTGAATCACATTCACCAGAATTATGTACCTACATTGGAAAGTGAATCATCTTTACTGATAGAGAGTACTCAAGAAGAAATTGTCATCAAGACATGCAAGTCTTATAATTTGTTGCTGGGTGGAGATCAATTAACAGTTGCCAGAAGCAGGTCTGCCATTAGTCATGTTGATAATAGTGATAGTCCATCAGCTAATCTGACAGGTCTCATACCAGTTATTCAGGACTGGCATTCAAAGATGACATTGCTAAATGTAAAAAAAAGAATGGGACTCTATATAAATATTGTATTAGCTATTTTGTGCTATTACAGGTTATTTGGAAGCATTTTTATTCTCTTAAGTCAGGAGGTGAACATGGGACCCTTTATCAACTAAGAAATTTACTTGGTAGAACTAATGTAAAAAATGACCCATCAAAATCATTTGATGAATGTGAGGATTTTTTACTAACAGCTATCGAAGGTTTCATTGCTACTGCAGCAATGCATATACTCAGGATGAAGTCATTGGATGATGTTCCAGATAGTGAAGTAGTACCTGAAGATTCGTGGCTCAATCCTGAATTAGAAAGAAAAAGAATTCTGTCTGAAGTAACGAGAGAGATATTTGATATGTATGTAAGGGCCAGGTATGCCACAGACAACACATTTTCATTTGGAAGGGATAGTTTAACACAATACCAAGCAGAACTGTTGAGAATTGGTCTATTTTATTGTGCATATCGTGATGCAATTAAAGAGGGTGATGGGTACAGGGTGTTACGTTGCTGGCGATACTTGCTGCTAATTTTTTCAATACAAATCACAAGAACTACTTTAAAGAAGCTCTGTATTTACTCTGCCAACACAAGTATCTTCTCACAGAGAGGCAATCATTTCAGTTACTGTATCATCGTTTTGTCAATATTAAGGGAGGTAGGGGTCACAATGTTCCCAGTGATTTACATATGGAACACCTGAATAAGCATTGCAAAGGATGTATATGAGATTTGGGACCTAATACAACTATTTCTTCCATGGTACAGGCATCTAAATGCATTGGAACAATTGATTCATTACATGTTAACTTTGATTCCAAAAATGGAATCAAAACTGAATATGGTTTCCATAAGAAAGCTTCCTGTTCTGGTGATACAGAAATAATCTTAGATGAATTGATGAAATATCAAGTCATGTCTCCACAAGTTACATTAAAAAGGAAGCATTCATCTTTCAAGAAACCAAAGAATCTATTATCAAGAGATAATCATAAAACATTGATTGATATGATAACTCATATTCCAGAACAATAATTTTTTGTATTATTTATGTATGACAGAAATTAGTACATGAACAACTTTGTTTACAAATGTCAGAACATAAACACTTACTATTAAAGTTATTATGATTTTATCCTTCCATTGTTTCAAATAGTAAATCACGTCTGCATAAAGTTGTGTTTTGTACATATTCTTTCATTTTATATTGTAAAGTTTTTGGTAGTTTTTTGTTGACTAATAACGTTGCCTCTGACTGCTTACCATCTCTTCCACATCTTCCTGTCTCTGGAATGCATGACTCTTTGTCATCAGGAGGTAATTAATGTATCACGTGATGCACTCCAACATAATCTATTCCCAAACCGAAAGCCATTGTACAAATGACAATTTTTAATGGCGTAGAGATGGAACCATTAAATGAAGACAATAGTTGACTTTACAGAGGGATCAGTATGGTGATGAAACATATCAAGTAATCAAAATCTGGAAAGATCTGGAGCATCAATTGGCTCAAGAATTTCATTCTTCATGAATTGCCAAAAAATGAATAAATAGAAGAACAGTCATTTAGTGTTCGGTAAAAAATGATAATATCTGCCAATTGAACTTCTAAGACTTTGAAGTTTCTTTCCTAGGGGGGTAAATACTTCATCAAGAGTGGAAAATTTTTCTATACTGTATTTTATATTATCCTTTGACGGTGACATAGTGATAACTCTAGGTGACTTCATACCTAACAAGCTTTGTACCTCCTCACGAGATGAACAAGATATGGTAGCAGTCAATGCAAGTACACTAACATGAGGAGGAATGAGGCTGCAAATTTCTCCTACATGAAGTAACATATCTCTGAATGATTCTCCCCTACATGTACAATAATTAACCACTTGTGAGTTATTAAGAAACTGTCACTGACCATTTATTGAGACAATGTGCTTCATCAAAAACAATAGTCTTAAGTCTCTTACTGTAAACATTACCTATAACCTAATGTATAGTGTAAGTAACAATGATTGGCAGTACCTCATAGCATTACTCTCAACTTCTTAGAACCCAACAATGACTCTGGCGTGAAATAAACAATCTGATAGTCTCCCTTTAGCACTCCCTCTTTCATTCTCTTATCTTCCTTTGTATCTTCACATATGTAGGCTGACTTCACTCTTCTTTTACTACTACTACAAACCTATTATAACAAAATTAATGTAGTCATAGTTTATTTCCACTATTACCTGATCTTCTAACAGTGCCTTTAATGGATTGACTACTACAATAATACTGTGATCATCTTCAGCTGAGCCCAATATATCATGGAGTAGAGGTAACACTAAATAGCAAAGGCTTTTGCCATAACCCATGGGCAAAACAGCAAAAATGTCAATTCCAGTCACTAAAGAAGTTATAACTTTAACTTGTAAAGATCTTAAACTATCATAACCCAATTTTGGAATGACATTAATTAAAGCAGCATAAACAGCCATATTTGATTATTATTATTATTGAAAGCAGCCTACGTCATAATTACATTCATGAAGCAGCTGACATCACTGCAGTATTTCTGCAGTGCCGGAACGAGTGGGTGATGCTAGTGATACCAGACCCTCTCAAAGCGAAGGGGCTGGGGCCCAGACTAGGGAAGTCAAGGAAAGATACCCTTGCATTTGTCATAGATAAAAAGGTATTGCTACACAAGTGTCATCAGGCTGGTTGAAGTCATTTGCCTCGAGGTATCCAGAACTGACATTGAAGACCGGTGAATCAATATCAAGAGCTAGGCAAATTAGAGCAACTGGAAAGCTACTTTGATTTACTGGAGCAAACACTTATTGATAAAGATTTGATTCATGGGCCTTGCAAAATTTTTAATACAGATGAAACTGGTGTCCCACTAGATTCGAAGCCTCTTAAAGTTTATGGTACAGTTTCTCAGAAGAATATTTTCTCTGTTTCCTCTGGCACCAAGGCTCAACTAACAGTACTGGCATGCGTCAGTGCTGGTGGTCAATGCTTGCCGCCAATGATCATATACAATAGGAAAGGTCTTGGAGACGGCATGGATGATGGAGCTGTTCCTTGTACTCTATTTGCCTTCAGCCCCAAGGGATGGATAGACACAGAACTCTATGAAAACTGGTTTTTCCATCACTTTCTCGCTTATTGTCCTCCTGTTCCACCACTTCTCCTTTTAGATGGACACTCTCACTGTAGTCCGACATTTGTAAACAAAGCAGCGGAAGAGAAGAATATTTTGCTTTTGCCTGCCACCAAACACAACGCATCGTACTCAGCCTCTCGATAAGGGAGCTTTTAGTCC